ACCAGCTGATCACAAGAGGGGTTACCACGCCTGGCGATTGGTAAGACGTGTGTGGTTTAAGGGCTTGGTTACCACACCTTGCGATTAAAGGGCCGAGGGAGTTCTCGCAGTTTGGGTTACCACGCCTTGTGATGGATGTGCGTGATGGGTTCGAATTTCAGAAATGTGGCACATCCCCTGTGTTTTTGGACCCTGACCCAGCGGATCTGCGTAAGGGGTGGCGCCGAATTTCAGACATGTGGCAAATCACATTTGTTTTTTGGCCCTGACCCCGCGGATCTGCGTGAGGGGTGGCACCGAATTTCAGAAATGTGGCAAATCCCTTGTGTTTTTGGACCCTGACCCCGCGGATCTGCGTGAAGGGTGGCACATACTTTCAGACATGTGGCAAATCACATGTGTTTTTGGACCCTGACCCCGCGGATCTGCGTGAGGGGTGGCACCGAATTTCAGAAATGTAGCAAATCCCATATGTTTTTGGACCCTGACCCCGCGGATCTGCGTGAGGGGTGGCGCCGAATTTCAGAAATGTGGCAAATCACCTGTGTTTTTGGACCCTGACCCAGCGGATCTGAGGGGTGGCACCGAATTTCAGAAATGTGGCAAATCACCTGTGTTTTTGGACCCTGACCCCGCGGATCTGCGTGAGGGGTGGCGCCGAATTTCAGAAATGTGGGAAATCCCCTTTGTTTTTGGACCCTGACCCCGCCGATCTGCGTGAGGGGTGTCGATTTCGAGCACCCCCAGCAATTCAGACAACGCGCCCAGGGGGTGCTAAAAAATCCTGTTTGGCCCCCCCCCCCTCGCGCGGTCAATCAACTAGTTACAGTAACCAGCAAGAAGTCAACTAGTTACAGTAACCAGCAAGAAGCAGAACTGCAACACTGGAAACTACAACCTACGATTGGTACAGGAAACTGCGAATCACGGTCCTACAGCCTGGTGGCCCCACAAGGGGGCCGGCGGATCAATATATATATATATATATGTATATATATATATATATATATATATATATGTATTGCAAGTGCTTCAACCGCAGCGATCCAAGTGTATGCCGGGGATGTGGGGCTGGGGGGGCCTGGGGGGCTCGGGCGGCTTGGGGCGCTTGGGGCGCTTGGGGCCCTGCTTGGCGCGCTTTGGGGTCCTCGGGGGCCTCAGGGGGGGCTTGGGGCCTTTGGCGAGGGGCGGCGGTCAGGGGCTTGGGGGGCTTGGCGGGCTTCGGCCCCCGAGGGCTGGCCTTTCCTTTCGCAACTCGATTCGACTCTGCTCGCTGGCTTGTGAGGCTGGTGGCAGGACCTTGGCCCGAGGAGTGGATGGGATCTCTGGTCCCCGCCAGCCCTTCTTCTCTCCTGAAGCAGGGGTGTACTGGACCGCTGGGGTAAGGCGACGAGTGGGCCCCATCGCGCAAATACTGCTAATGAAGACGTGGTCGGGGGGCCTCGGCGAAGGCCGAGGTCTCCCAACCCGTTCAAAATGGGCTGTACAGCGTCGGCGATCTGCACAGGCCGGGGATGATGTCCAGTCTTCGCAACGGCCCGCACTACCTGTCCTCGGTCGCTACCCTGTTAGGGGATGTTGTGTTCGGGGGTTCACACTCCAGGCTTGGGTTAGCGTCAACATTCCGCAGGACCCTGGATCCCGCAGCGCCTATTCGGGTACGGCCCCTCCGAAGAGCCCACTCGGCCGAGCCAACCCAGGAGGGAGAGTAGGCGAGCGAGGGGGGGGGCGGGAAGAAGAAGACAAGGGGGAGGAGGATGACGATGACGAGTGCTGCGGGTGATGATGATGATGACATGATTATGATGATGATGATGATGAGACATGGATGGAATGATGATGATGTATAGTCATGGCTGGAATAGATGAGGATGATGATGGATGATGTCATGATAGATTATGATGTGTTGATGATGGAGGAGTAGGAGGTAGTAGGGAGGACTAGGGAGAGGGAGGGAAGATGAGGATGAGGAGGAGGATGCACATGACTGCGTGAATGAATGGGCATGTGAATGATGATGCTGATGATGATGACACGGAGGACGGTAGGGAAGAGGGGGAGGAGGAAGGAGTAGAGGAGGAGGAGGAGGTGATGATTAGGAGGAGGATTGAGGATGAAAGGAGGAGTAGGAGAGGACGTGAAGAGGAGGAAGGATGAGTTCGAAGGAAGAACGAAAAGATAGAAGAATAGGAGGAGGAGGCATAGGAGGAGGAGATGGGGTGGGAGGAGGGGGAGGAGGAAGGAGGAAGGAGGGAGGAGGGCGTTAGTAGGATGTAGGAGAGGAGGGAGAAGGAGGAGCGAGGAGGAGAAGAGCGGGAAGAGGTGGAGGAGGGAGGTAGGGAGGAAGGTAAGGGTGTGGAGGGGGGGGGAAAGGGAGGGAGGGAGGAGGTGAGTGAAGGAGAGAGGAGGCAGGGAGGTGGAGATGATGACAGGAGGAGAGGAGAGGAGGAAGAAGAAGAAGAAGAAAGGCGCATGAGGGGACCGTCCTATCAGGAGCGCAGCGGATGGGGGGGGGGGGTGAAGGAGGGGGGACGGGCGTCGGGGGGGCCGCGGGGCGCGAGCGAGGCGCTGGGGGCGGGGGGGGGGGGGGCTCGCCGCGCCTGCAGAGCCGCGGCAGCCCGTCGCCTACCCGCTGCCGTCCGCCGCCACCTCCGGCAGCCCCCTCTCCGCACCCGCCACCCCTCGGAGAAGACACACCGGCACTACAGTCAACCCGTGCAGCAAGGATGTGCGATACTATGCACGGGCCTGGGACGCCCATTTCGAAGCTTTTCCAGCGGGGCGCGGCCAGCGAACGCGGCGAGGGATGGACCGAGGAGGCAAGGATGCCAGGGTACCCTTGGGAAGGTTGCCCATCCTTACTATGCGGGTTGACTGTAGCATACGGTCAGGCACTTTTGCCCAGTGTGTCGCTCCGCCGGTTCTGGCCCGCCGCGCTGCAGCGCGACACGCTAATCGCGTCGTAGTCCCCAAGCATCACCGTCCCGGGCCTTTTGAGGCCTCTTGTCTCGCGGAAACGAGCGACACGTTATTAGCTTGCAGGGCATAGCGTGTTGTTGGGCATGCCGCTGCGACACGCAAGGACATGCTCCGACGTTAACCCGACCTTATCCGACGTGAGCCCGACGTAATTCCGACGTGAATCCAACGCAACTTGGGTCTCAAGTTGCCGCGCGAGGCCTTCAGGATTTGCCCCACGGGATCAGACGATTCGATGCTGCTCCACCTCCTCCGCCTTCACCTCCTGCTGACTGATTTCGGCGGCCTAGAGGTTGACACCAACACCAATATCAGCGGTGTGCTTCCACCGAGGAAAGATGATCCCGACCTCGGTGATGGTGGTAATATTCGGGCTTTCCAGGTGGCCGAAAGATGACCACCGACACCAATATCCAGGATCGTCTTCCTCCCGTGGAGGCAACCTCTGGTCTTGGTGTTCGTGCCCCTTTCCAAGCTTCCAATGGTTGACTGATCCCTCCTCCTCCTCCTCCTCCTCCTTCACCTCCTCTTCCTCCTCCTCCTCCTCCTCCTCCTCCTCCTCCTATCCTCCCTCCTCCTCCGCCTCACCCCTCACTCCTCCTCCTTCCCCTCCTCCTCCTCCACCCCCTCCTCCTCCCCCTCACTCCTCCTTTTCCTCCTCCTTCCTCCTCCTCCTTCTTCTCTACATCCTCCCACCTCACTCCGCCCCTCCTCCTCCTCCTCCTCTCCTCCCTCCCTCCTCCTCCTCACTCCGCCTCCTCCTCCCCCACCTCCCTACCCTCCTCCCCTTCCGCCTCCTCCTCCTCCTCCTCCGCCTCCTCCTCCTCCTCCCCTCCCTCCTCCTCTCCCCTCGGCCCCCTCCTCCTCCACCTCCGCCTCCTCCTCCTCTACCTCCGCTCCTCCTCCTCCTCCTCCTCCCCCTCCTCATCCTCCTCCTCCTCCTCCTCCTCATCCTCCTCCTCCTCCTCCCCTCCCCTCCTCCCCACCTCCTTCCCCCTCCTCCTCCTCCTCCTCCTCCTCATCCCCCTTCTCCTCCTCCTCCTCCTCTTTCTTCTCCTACTTCCTCTCCATTCTCCTCCTTCCCCGCCTTCGCCTCCTCCTCCTCGTCCTCCTCCTTCTCCTCCTCCTCCTCCCCCCTCCCGGCTGCGCGCGCGGGTCTCTGCCGCGGCGAAAGGTCGGCAGACGGCGCGGGCCCCAGCACGCCGCCCCGCGGTGGCAGGCCCCAGAGCCGAGGGGGTGCGCCGGCTGGGGCCCCTAATGGCCGGCTGGGGGCACCTCCTTCTCCTCATTCTCCTCTTCCTCCTCCTCCTCCTCCTCCTCCTCCTCCTCCTCCTCCTCCTCCTCCTCCCCTCCCCTCCCCTTCGCCCTTCTCCGTCTCCCTTCTCCTTCTCCTCCTCCTCCTTCTCACCTCCTCCTCCCCTTCCCCTCCTCCTCCTCCTCCTCCTATTCCTCCTCCTCCTCCTCCTCCTCCTCCCCTCCTCCTCCTCCTCCTCCCCCTCCTCCCCTCCTCCTCCTCTCTCCTCCTCCTCCTCCCCATCCTCCTCCCCCTCGTCCCCCTCCTCCTCCTCCTCCTCCTCCTCCTCCTCCTCCTCCTCCTCCTCCTACTCCTCTTCCTTCCTCCCTACCCTCAGCCCTCCCTCCCTCCTCCCTCCCTCCCTCCCTCCCTCACCTCCTTCCTTCCCCACCCATCCCTCCATCTCCTCCCTCCCCCTCCGCCTTCCACTCGGGCGACGACATCTAAGCAAATCCTTTGCTTGCCGGCCTGGCCCATCCTGAACCCCGTAGCTGTGTATACGCCTTCCCGGCCAAGCCACGAGGGCGTGGCGTATACACCGCTGCTGGGCTCAGGATGCGCCCAGTCAGGGAGCAGTGGATATATATATATATGTATATATACACATATGAATATATACACATCATCTTTAAACAAAAAAAAGATGAAAAACATAGTCCCCCTGACCACCACCTCCGCGATTTGGTTGCTTCCGCCTGCCCTCCGCCTCGCATCCGCGCCCGCCCCGGCTCAAAACCGAGCGCGCGGCAGCCCCCGGAGGGGGGTCGCCGCGGTCCCGCCGCGGCGCGGTCTCCCGCCTGCCGGCGAGGGGGGGCGCCCAGACCTCGGGAGGCGCGCGCGGGAAGGGAGGCGTGCCGGGCGCCGGTCGATGGTGATGATGATGATGATGATGATGATGATGATGATGATGATGATGATGATGATGATGATGATGATGATGATGATGATGATGATGATGATGATGATGATGATGATGCGATGACGATGAGGATGATGAGGATGAGGATGAGGATGAGGATGAGGATGAGGATGAGGATGATGATGATGAGGATGATGATGATGATGATGATGATGATGATGATGATGATGATGATGATGATGATGATGATGATGATGATGATGATGATGATGATGATGATGATGATGATGATGATGATGATGATGATGATGATGATGCTGATGATGATGATGATGATGCTGATGATGATGATGTTGGTGGTGGCTTCGGGGCGCACGCAACTGGGGGTCAGCTAATCACTTCTGATCCCCTACGGGCTGACTCGGGCTTCAACCACGTGAGCGACGGAAGGGAATGCATTTGCCTCCACCAACATGTGAGCCGCCGGCGTGAGGTCGCGCGCAAGCGCCACCGTTCCTAATATTGCTTGCCGCGCTGGCGGCCCGCGTACGCCGCGGCGCGAGGTCGCCGTGTCATCGTGCGTAAGGGCCCTTTCTTCTCGCCGCTCACTGGAAGCCGTCGCCATGGAGGAAGTGGGTCCTGAGGGACCCCTTTCTTTTCGTTGCTCACGTGAAGCCGTCGCCATGGAGGAGGCGGGCCCCGAGGAGGACCGGTCCCGAGGCTGCTCGCCGTTCCTTCGGGCTCTCGGGGCCCCCTCCACGGGCCCAGAGGGACCGTCGGGAAACGGCGCGGGCGGAAGACCTCGCCCCAGGGGGGAGAGGGCCCCAGGGCCCAGGGCTCGTTTCCCGCGGGACCCGCTTCCCTCCCCCCTACTGAAAAAGCTGGCCCCCCCCCCCGCTGATCCTCCGCTGCTGACCTGGGGAGTATTGGGGGGGGGTGGGAGCTTCGTGGCTCGCGACGGGGCCCTCTGGCCGACCCCCCCCCCCGGGCTGGTGCGGCAACCCCGCCGCGCGGCCCGTCCCAGGATGTGGTCCCCAGGGAGAGGGGGATAGCGGGGGGGAGGGGGGGGAGGCTTCTTAGAAGCAGGAGGGCGCGGGCCTTCTCTGTAGATGTTAGACCGGCGCCTTCTATAAAAAGCAGCCTTCTCCTGGGAAGCCTCCCCTCTCGCCCCCTGCCCCTGTGTGGGCGCCGTCAAGGGAGAAACGTAAGACTCGAGTGCGCCAGAGCTCGGGTGTGCCGACGCTCTTTGACGAGCGTGTCCTGGGTTTTGGCGGCCTGGTTTTCGTGGGATGTCTGCAGCGGGAGCTCGCGTCACACTTCAGATTGGGTCTCGTCATCTCCATGATTGGCCCCGTCAGGCCAACCCGAGTCCCCCGAACCCGAGTCTTACGTCTCCTTGGGAGAGGGGGGTCCCGAGTTTCTTCACCATCCTCGGTCTCCCCGGGGCCCTCCCCGGGCGCGGGGGCCGTCAAGAGACACGTTATCGAGGCCTTCCAGGTCGGGTCGGAGGATCGCGCCGGATCGCCGACGCATCGGCGATGCGGCGAGATCCTCCGACCCCATCTACGCCGACACCATCTGGGAGGCCTCCTGGCATCGCTCGGACGTGTGCATTTTTTTCTCGGCGAGAACCATCGAGGAGCATCCTTGATCATTTGGCGAAAAAACCACGCACGAAACCGAACAAAAACACAGGGAATGGACGTCCGAGCGAGGGCGAGGCCTCTACATGAGGGATGGAGCAGTGTTGATTTCCCTTTGCCCGGAAACCAGTTTCGTGGCTCCGCAGCTCCGACCCTCCGCAGGCAGCTGCCGAGGTCCTCGGACGTTGTCGGGGGTCCCCGTGGCCACGGCCGGGTTCGAGGGTCCGGGTGCGCTCTGGGACAAGCCTGGCTGGCAACTGTGATGCCCAGGGCCTGCACTCGGACGTTTGCCGGGGTCCCCATGGCCACGGCTGGATTCGAGGGTCAGGGTGCGCTCTGGGACAAGTCTGGCTGTCAACTGTGATACCCAGGGCCTGCACTCGGACGTTTGCCGGGGTCCCCATGGCCATGGCTGGATTCGAGGGTCAGGGTGCGCTCTGGGACAAGTCTGGCTGTCAACTGTGATACCCAGGGCCTGCACTCGGACGTTTGCCAGGGTCCCCATGGCCATGGCTGGATTCGATGGTCAGGGTGTGCTCTGGGACAAGTCTGGCTGTCAACTGTGATGCCCAGGGCCTGTATCTTCAGGCGTCTTGGGGATCCACGACGGGGTTTTCGCGGGCTCGTTTACCACTGCCACGACGATATACAAAGGCTGCTGGCCTATGGGTCAGGCGTTTTCCAATTTAATCTTGTTGTCCGTACGAAGCAGGAATGCTTCACTGGGAGCCGATCCGCGTGACGGGGTCCGATATAGATGATCGGAATAGCGGCCGCGAGGGTTGCCTCGTCGCAGTCGCAGTGTCCACTGGCGCCGTCGTCTTCGCATCCACGGCGATGCCGTCCGTGGCCATTTTGGACTGTTCTTGATCTCTATATTCCGATGCCGAATGTCGGCCAACGGCAGAAAGCGGAGCGCCCTGTCCGGGCTCCGCGACCTGGCAGGCGAGTTGGGCGCGCTGGCGAAACGGCGCAAGGACGACCTCTCGAGCGCGGGCTTCGATGCTGTCCGCGCCCAGGTGGCTGCTGCCTTCTCCGCGCAAGACCGGCGACGTCGCGCCGAGGACTCGCGGTCCAACGGCCGTTCTGTTATGCTCTCGCCAGTGCCCAGAGCTCAGGGCGCTTGATTCGGCGCAGGTGCCGCTTGCAAGAATAGGGCGCCGGCATCGCCCCCGCCGTGGCGTCGTTGCCGCGCGCGCCGCGGGCGCTGTAGCGTCCTCAGCGCAGGCGCTGCGCATGACTCGGCGCGTTGCATGATATGATGCCGGCAGCGCTTCGCCATGGAGCTGCCAGCGCAGGAGCCGCGGGGGCAGGCGATTTATCTGCGCGGGCGCTGCGTGCGGCCAGGCGCGAGCGCCGCGGGCATCTTAAATAATATAGGGCGCCAGCATCTCCTCGTCGACGCATGCGCCGCGGGCGTGGGCTTTTATTGCCGCAGGTTCCGCCCGTGGTAAAGCACAGGCACCTCCGGCACGCCCAAACATAAGGTACAGGCGCCGCCCTGCCATCGCAGGCAGCGGCGCAGGCGCGCTTTCTGTTTTGTTTTTGTTGTATTTCTCCGCGCAAGCGCGCCACCCCGCTTGGGCTTATACATTCTATGCGCTCGCGGTGAGTGGGACTGTGAAGGCGGGGGAACACGTGCGAATCCCAGCACCGTATCAGCGCCACTGCCCGAGACGGGGCGTCGCGCCCTCTTGCGGGGGCGAGCTCAGGGCGGGGCCAGAGGGGGCGGTTGAGCCTGTGATGGATGTTTCGGAAGCTCGAGCGTGCAACGCAAAGCAGCGGCGGCGGAGGTTCGTGCGCGCACCGCTCCGCGCGCAGGAAGAAGTCACCTTCATCTGGCCTACGGCGCGTTTGTGCCAAGCATTGTAAATTAAAGCTGTGCGCGGCCCGCTTGGCTTCGATCGGAAGAGGCTCGCTCTCGACCCGCGGATCAAAAAATCTGTGCCAAGCATGGAAACATGGCGACACTGCTTTGATAAGGAAACAGGAATACGCTTGTGCTGGTTTGCTGGGCGCAGTAGTCAGTGGTACTGGAAAGTCGACCCGAAAACCACGACGGGCGTTTTTGTTCTTGCCGCCAGGGGACGTTTTTCAAGTCCGGCGAGAAAACGGCCCGCGGCGAAGCAACGGTGTTCGTGGTGCGTGGTGTCGGGGATTGTGGGATTGTGAAACCATCAAGAAAAGAAAGCCACCACTTCAGGCCCCGACTTTCTAGGTCACCCCGAGGGGCGCGGAGAGAACCGCGCCCCGCAAGTCGCAGTGGGGGTCGCGGAGCTGGCTTTCTCCAGGGGGCAGCGCGAAGGCGCGAAGATAACCGTGCATCGCGGGGCGCGATGCCCCACGTTAGGTGGCCCAGGGTTTCCGACGCGATCTGCTTCCAAACGTCTGGCGCGATCCCTCTCTCTCTTTCCTTGCTTCGTGTCCAGAGGTCTGGGGAGGTTTGGGGGGTCATGAGCCGGCTGCTGTGGGTGAGGAACGAAGCATTCGACCATGGGTGCTTCAACACGTCTGTGCGGTGGACCGTGCCCAAGGTGCTGGATTTCCTCGGCTCGCTTCGCATCGCAGTGCCCTCCATGAACATCACGCGCGCCATGTGGGTGGATGCTGCCACTAACAAGTGCAAGCCGGCGCTCACGGAGGCGGAGGCGACGGCCTACTGGAACGTCTTCTCGGTGCTCTCGCAGAACATTCTCGGGATGCCGGGCGACCCGCTGGACGTCAGGCGAATCGGGCTCGTCTTGATGTGCCAGGTCTCGAAGACGAGGAATTTGCATGAACAAACTTTCGGAGGTCCGCACCGATTTTTCGGGTCGCCCCCCCCCCTGGCGGCGCAACCGGCGCCGCCCCTGCGCGCTCCGCGCGCTAGGGAGGGACCTTCAGCGCAGATCGAAGAACTCCGCAACTCCGCGCGGACGTTGGAACGTCAATGTTCATGCGATTTTCTCGCTTGGGGAAACCAAGAGATACCAATACCGCTGCTCCCCAGACCTCTCCCGGGGTGCGCTCCGACCAGAATGTCGAGACGAATCCAGCCGTGGCGACGAGGGCGTCCCGTGAGGCCCAAAAGGCGAAAACGCGGGAAGGGTCGCGGTATCGGTACCTTTTCCCCCCCTGAGGTCTTCAGTCCGCACCGTGTCCGCGCCGATCAGTTCGTCAAGTCGGGCGCTCAGCTCCCCTGATGCGCTCGTTTCGAAACGCAAGACGTACCGTGTTCAGAACATCCGTGGCAACACGTTGCATGTTGGCTCAACGTGTTGGCCCACATTCTGGCGAATTCATCACGCCAATTCGTACGTTTTCGATCTCCGCGTTGAGCTCCGTGTCAGCGCGCTACGGGTTGCGTGGTGCGTACCTGCGGCAGCTCATCACCACCCACCAGAGCACTCCAACCCAACCCGAGGGCTTCAGCTTGCCCTCCATTTCCAGTGTGAGTGTGGGGGGGGGGGTCGGGGAACATGGAACAGAACACACCTATGGAACCCGCACCCCGAAATGGAACCCGAAATGCGGGTCTTCAGGCTGGGGTGGGGCGGCCTGGTAGGCAGTCAGCTCAGGTCGGGCGAGATGTTCCCCGGCAACCAGCGCTCCGGGCGGCAGTCCCCGCGCTGCACCTCCCCGCGCGCGGGGCACTCCGCGCAGGCGCCGACGGTGAGCCGCGGCCGCGAGGCCTCGGCCGCCATGCTCGCCTTCGTGCGCGACCACGTCGGCTCGTTCCTGCAGGCCAGGCTGCAGCTCCTCCTCCTCCTCCTCCTCCTCCTCCTCCTCCTCCTCCTCACTCTCCTCATTCTCCTTCTTCCCTGTCTCCTCCACCTCCTCCTCGTCCGCCTCCTCCTCCCCCTCCTATGCACCTCCCCCCCTGCGTCGAAGAAGAAAACCAACGGCGCAAACATAGACTTCTGGAGCTCCGCGAGGATATTTCTTGGATCTGCGCTGGGGCCCCCTCTGGCGGCGCCTCCGGCGCCGCCCCATTGGCTCGCTCCGCGCGCCAGGAAGAGGGGGGGGTTCCAGCGAAGATCCAAGAAGGCCGCGCTGAGCGCCAAAAGTCTCTGTGGCGTTTTGTTTGCGTTTCTTTGTTTAAATTGCGGGCAAGATGCATATCCATGTGCGCTGCATCTTGTAGTCCCGGGCCCCCTTCCCCAGACACCCGAGGCGCAATGGATATGGAAAGCATCTGGCCAGTGGAGGCCATATGTTTGTGCATATCTACTGCGCCTCGGCCTTTTGGCGCGCCCCTCCCAGAAAGTCCAAGACGTAGTATGGATAAAAATCTTGCCCGCGCTGCTGGGAGGTCAAGTTCATATTCGTGTCTGGCATATTCGTGGTCGAAACACTGCCTAATCTGGCATGGTCCCGCTCACCCAGGCCTAATCCCGCTCAGTCACGCTTGATCCGGCTTAGTCCCGATTATTCTTGCTGGATCCCGTGATTAATGTGGCCACATCCGGTTCAATGGCCCCTTCATCGGGCTTACTAGCCCCTAGCGGTTCTGACGAAGACTTTCCAGACGTTACCTCCTAACGCAGGTGGCGTGCTTCGCGCTGTCATCGGAGCCCGCCAGCGTCTCATCCGATGAGTTCGACATTCTGGGCCTCATCCTGAGCGCGGGGTCCTCGATGGCACAGCCGCACAAGAAGCTCTCTGAGGGCATCCCTGAGCTCTCCGCCAGGAAGGTTCTGCCGATGCAGGAGCTGCGTGATCTGTTTGACAAGAGCCTGGTGTGGAACGAGGATGTATACCCTGCTGTGGAGCCGACCCCACACGCCATCTCAGGCATGGCGCCAGAAACCGGCAGCGAGAAGACGGTCAATCTCTCCGGACTCAGCAAGACTACGTGGTTCCAGAACCCCAAGGACGCCGAAATCCGCTACCTGAACATCATTGGGTGCACGGACTGCACGTTCTACGTGACGTCTAATGTCCATTTCTGCCTCGCAACAGGCTGCCACGACTGCAACATCGTCATGAGCTCCGTCTCGGCGCTCTGCACCATCAGCCACTGCGAGAAGATCTCAGTGCACGTCGCAGCCCACTGCTTCAAGATGGATAACTCGACGGACTCTTCGGCCTTCCTGTTCTGCCACATACCGCCGATCCTGACAGGCGACACGCGCGGCATCAAGCTGGCGCCGTTCAACGTCCTGTCCTCCTCGCTCTCGGCCGCCCTCGCGGCCGGCAGCATGCAGCTGGACCCAGAGTACGTAGACGTGTGGGCCTACCCCGTGTGCTGTGCGCTGGGCGTTCCCAACGAGACGATGAGCATCCGCAGCGGCGCCCCGAACGAGCCCAGCAACACGGTCTACCACTTCGTGCACCCCGCCAGTTTCCAGCCCGTCGTCGTGCCCGGGCCTCCCGCACGCGGGGCCGGGGGGGCGGTGCCGCTGTGCCTTCCACAGGTGTACGACGACGCATTCAAGAGCCGAGAGGAGGAAATGCGCACCCTCCAGAGGTCGCAAGCCAGAGGAAGAAAACTTGCCGATGCTGGTCATAATTTTACATATATATATATGTGAACAGCTAGATATGTATGTATGCATGTATGTATGTATGTATGTATGTATGTATGTATGTATGTATGTATATATGTATATATATTGCTCCCCAAGAGCATACATTTTATCTTGAATCGTTCTCACGTTCAACATCTTATTTTTCATTATTCCCTTCTCTTCTTCCGTCCTCCCCCTTCTCCAAACACAATTCCTCCTCCTCCTCCTCCTCGCCCATCCTCCTCCGCATTCTCCTTTCCGTTTGCTCCCCTTTGTAGTAACACAAAAACAAGAATACACAGTGTTTGGCGCCATCGATGCAAGGAACCGCTGTGTATTGTTGTTTTTTTGTTTGGTTGTTTTTTGGGGTCTAGGATGCAAGAGAACATGGTGTATTACATTTTTTTGGGGGGGGGGGGGTGGGAAGCTCGAGTGCTCCCCGCGGCCTCCCCCCCCAGCACCTCCTCCTTTCCTTTCCTCCTCCTTGTTGCAAAGCAAGAAATACAAACATACACAGTGTTTGGCGCCCTCGATGCCAGGAAACGCTGTGTATGTTTGGTTTGTTTGGGTTTTCGGGTTCAGGATGCAAGGAAACATTGTGTATGTTGTTTTTTTCTTTTGTGGAAGATCAAGTGCTCCCCGTGGCCTCTTCCCCAGCACCTCCTCCTTTCCGTTCCTCCTCCTTGTTGCAAGACAAGGCAACCAAACATACACAGTGTTTGGCGCCCTCGGTGCAAGGAAACGCTGTGTTCTTTGTTTGCTAGTGTTTTTTTTGGTTTCTGGTGCTTTGGTTTAGGATCCAAGGAAGCACGGTGTATTTTTGATTACTTTGGTTTTGGAGGTTTTGGAAGCTCAAGTGCTCCCCGCGGCCTCCCCCAAGCACCTCCTCCTTCTTTTCTGGAGCTTCAAAACCCACAAACAAAGCAACACAAATTACACAATGTGTCCTTGCATCCTAAACCAAAAAGACCAGACAAACCAAACATACACAGCGTTTCCTTGCATCGAGTTCGCCAAACACTATGTATTGTTGGTTTTCTTGCTTTGCAGCAATGAGGAGGAAAGGAAAGGAGGAGGTGCTGGGAGGAGGCCGCGGGGAGCACTTGAACTTCCAAACCCAAGAAACCAGAACAACCAAACATACACAATGTGTCCTTGCATCCTGAACCCCCGAAAAACCAGACAAACCAAACATACACAGCGTGTCCTGGCATCGAGGTCGCCAAACACTGTGTATGTTTGTTTTTCTTGCTTTGCAACAAGGAGGAGGAACGGAACGGAGGAGGTGCTGGGGGGGGGGGGCGCGGGGAGCACTTGAGCTGCCAAAACCAAAAACAAATAACCAGACATACGCAGTGTTTCCTTGCACCCTAAACCAAAAAGACAAGAACAACCAACAAAACACAGCGTTTCCTGGCATCGAGGGCGCCAACCACTGTGTATGTTTGTATTTCTTGCTTTGCAACAAGGAGGAGGAAAGGAAAGGAGGAGGTGCTGGGAGGAGGCCGCAGGGAGCACTTGAGCATCGTGAACCAAAAGAAAACAACATGCCAAACATACTCAGTGTTTCCTCGTATCCCAAACCCAAGAAACCAGAACAACCAAACATACACAGCGCTTCCTTGCATTGAGGGCGCCGAACACTGTGTATGTTTGGTTTTCTTGCTTTGCAACAAGGAGGAGGAAAGGAAAGGAGGAGGTGCTGGGGGGGAGGCCGCGGGCAGCACTTGAGCTTCGAAATCACAAACAAACAAACTAACCAAACGTACTCATTATTTTTTTGCATCCTAGACCCCCCAACACAGGAACAACAATACACAGCCTTTCCTGGCATCGAGGGCGCCAAGCATTGTGTATTCTTGTTTTTGTGTTACTACGAAGAGGAGGGAACGGAAAGGAGAATGAGGAGGAGGAGGATGGGCGAGGAGGAGGAATTGTGTTTGGAGACGGGGGAGGACGGAAGAAGAGAAGGGAAGGATGAATAAGAAGATGATGAACGTGAATGCGACTCAAGATAACATGTATGATGTTGGGGGGGGGGGCAACCAAATATTTATGTACACATTATTTCGCTATGCTTTTTACAAGTGGGGGGGGGACCCGCATGTCGGACCAATCCCAACCCACTGGTACCAATTACAACCGACGTGGCCACTTCTCAACCGGTCAGAAAGCCAATTGGTACCAATTACAACCAGTCACCTTGAACCAGCAATTGGCTTCTAGTTGTGCAGCATCTGAAAACGATCAGACATCAAATTAACGTTTCCAGAGTACAATTTTTTGGGAGTCAACATGAGTGTCCCGGTTGGATTTGGTATTCGTTTACTGTCTGGCATCTGGGGGTTGTCTTGCAACAGTAACACCAAATCACACATATCACCTCAAGACAATGAAACAATTCCAACACAGCAACATCTATTCACCACACATACCCACACACCTTTCCACAACAACGCATATCCAAAGCCCGACTTCTCATCCTCCTTGTCATCGTCCGTTCCTTCCCTCCTTCTGTCCTGCTTCCTCTCTCCCCTTCCTCCTCCTCTCCCTCCGTCTTCTCCTCCTGATTTTCCTCGTGTTGCATTCCTCACATTCCTCCTCTTCTTCTTCACCCTCGTCCTCCTTCTCTATTGTTCCTTCTCTTCCTCCTCCTCGAGCATGGCCAAAGGTAGCCCCCAACTGACCTCCGAGATTCTTCAAGACAACCTCAACATGGCCCAAGATAGCTGAGCATGGCCCAGGATAGCCTCCGACAGCCTGTAGTCAGCCAGGGCTCACAATAGCTTCCAAGAGGCCTCAAGAAAGCCTCCGATCGTGACTGGACGGGCTGGCCAGGATACGCGAATCGTCAAACGCTCATGTGTTTGTTTGGACTTGCATTCGATTGGGAAGTGGGGCCGGTGGCGGCGGCGGCGGAGGTGAAGGTGACTCGTTCGGCCACCTTCTGTTTTGGGCCGTCTTGGATGCCTCTTGGACCGTCGTGGAGTCGTCGTGGGCCGTCTTGAGTTGACAAAAGCCCGAAAAGGCGAGAACGCGAAAATCTGTGGACATCCTAAAATGGAAAGCGATGATATTGGCTTCTTCGGACCCTGCTGGATGTCCTTTTGTGGCCCTTTTGGGCTCTCTTGGAGGCATCTTGGGCCGTTTTGCAGCAAGATTTGGCCGCCTTGGGGCCATCATGGGCCGTCTTCGAGGCATCTTGGGCCATCTTGGTGTTCTTGGTTGCTTGCAGGGGCCTTCTTGGAAGCTCGGGACGCGCATCCATCGTTTCTAACGAGGGATCGAGCCTTGGGAGGCTCTGGAGCGCTTGGGAGCAGCGCTTGGGAATGAGGGACGTGCGCGATCCTCCAGCGGGTGCGCGTGGGATGAGGGGTCCAGGAGTCAGCGCCATGCGGGAAGTGCGAAATCCTCGAGCGGGTGCGCATGGAATGAGGTTTCAAGCGTTAGCTGCTTTGCGGGAAGTGCACTATCCTCGAGCGGCACGCGTGGAATGTGGGATTAGGCATCATTAGCTGCCATGCTGGAAGTACACCATCCTCGAGCGGGCAAGCGGGAAGTGGCCTCGGAAAGGAGGGGCGATGCATGTGGCAGTCTGCGAGTAGAGCAGGGGGAGCCTTGCAAACCTACCAGGCAGACTTGGCATTCTTCCACGCCTCAACGTGCCAGGGAGCACTGTCGCGGATATAGGCTTACTTCCTACGTTTTCACCTTTTTGGGGCCCGCGGAGTTGGATTCGCTGCGGGATCCCAGTCAGAACGCGCCCCCCAGAGAAAGGTCCAGGGAGTAGCGAGACCTATAGATTTGTCTGTTCCCCCCGCTGACGGACTCAGGTCCCCGACGACCGTTGCGGAACAGTTAATAGAGAACGGCTCTTTGTGAACATGTGGTTCTCGCTTGAAGCTTCGCTAGGCTTTACAAGCAGAAGTTGAAACATGTGCAAACACGACAGCCCCGTGCTTTCCCCTTTGAGCTCGACACTGTTTCATTACTTAGCGCTTGAAGGATGGAGGGCGTTGGCCTCTGGACGCCTTCCCCATGACAAGCTTTTTGTCGGGGTCGTTCCTTGACGGCCCTGGGGCCTGGAAGCGGATCGGGCTCCCACGCTCGAGACACGTCGCCCGCTCGATCTCACTCGAGCCCCCCACGGGGCCCGCCCACGGAGCCCTGGAAGCGTCCCGAGGCCTGCCGAGAACACCTCCCAACACCTGGCCAGAGCCTGGCGCTTCGATCCTCGGCCTTTCGACTTCTTCGACGATCCGGAGCGGTAGGGTCTCGGGTTGCGCACAGACGGCCCCTCCCAGGTGGCCTCAGCACCCCCGCCTCAGGGCGCGGAGCGCCCCAGGGGCGCCGCTGGAAGCGGCGCCGGGGTGCTGAGACCTCGACCTTCGACTTTCGACGATCCGGAGCGGCAAGGTCTCGGGCTGCGCACAGACGGCCCCGCCCAGGTGGCCTCAGCACCCCCGCCTCAGGGGTGCTGAGCCCGCCCCGTACTACTTGGGGGGTCCGTCGCGGCCAGCTGGGACTATGCACTCGGGGGGGGCGGCCTGCGCACCGCCCGATGGCCTTGCCTGTGCTCCGCTCCTGGAGCTCCGATATTATGCTGGATCCCTTGAGGTCCCTGGCGGAGCTGGGCGACGAGGCCAAGAGGAAGCGGGTGCAGCAGACCATCCAGGGCCACTTCCGGGAGTGGCTCCAGTCCACCGGCAAGAGCCGGCAGCTGGCGGACCTTGCGCGCATGGCACGGCCCTAGGAGTGAGGCAGAGCGCCCTCCCGGCTCCTTGTCATCTTGCTTCCCCACCTCCTCCTCCTCCTCCTCCTCCTCCTCCTCCTCCTCCATACCTCCTCCTCCTTCTCCATCGGCGTTGTTCGCTCCTCCTCCACCTGTGAGATCTTGAAGAATACCTCGAAGAAGGAACAACTGCATAAACATACATTTTCCGGATGTCAGCGCGGATTTCTTGGATCGGCGCTTGGCCCTCCCTGGCGGCGCCTCCGGCGCCGCCCCTGGCACGCTCCGCCCGCGCGCCAGGGAGGGGGATTCCAGCGCGGATCAAAGAAACCCGCGCCGATCTCGGAAAGTTTATGTTTGTGCAATTTTTATTTCTGTCCACACATCCTCGTGCCCAACACCTCCGACGCCTTAAGAGAATGTCGACGTCCAGGTTTTCCGCGATCCGAGCATTTGGAGGCCCGTTTGAGGACCGACTCTGGGGGGCCCGTGTTGACAAGTCGGGACGTGGAAGGCATTCTGCATGTGGGTTGGGGGAAGAGGAGGAGGTGTGAGGAGGGGGAGGAGGACGGAGGGGGCGGGATTGGGCAAGCTCAGTCGGGAGGTTGATCATCCCCACCCCTTGATAAATACCCCATCCAGAGTATGCGTCCTCCTCCCCCGAACTTCCCTTTTGAGCTCCGTGGGGCGTCAGAGCCCGTGTCGGGCCGCCGAAAAGGCCCCGAATCGAGCCCCTTTCGGCGGCCGGATGGGCTCGGACGCCGAACGGGCTCGGAAGCCGAGCGCGATGCAGAATACGTGCCCGTCGGTCGTCGAAAGTCAGAGTGCGGCGGGCTGAACCGAACGGTCATTCACTGTCCCTGAGTGCGTGGCTGAAGTAGAATTTTGCGATGCGGATTCTTGCTGGTGTTGTTGTTGATGATGGTGTTGTTGTTGATGATGTTGTTGTTGTTGTGGTTGTTGTTGTTGTGGTTGTTGGTTGTTGGTTGTTGGTTGTTGGTTGTTGGTTGTTTGTTGTTTGTTTTTTGCTGTTTGTTGTTTGTTGTTTGTTGCTCGTTGTTTGCTGTTTGCTGTTTGCTGTTTGCTGTTTGCTGTTTGTTGTTTGTTGTTGGTTGTTTGTTTTTTGTTGTTTGTTGTTTGTTGTTGTCGTCGTCCCACCCGCGACCCGCCCCGCGACCCACCCGCGACCCACCCGCCGACCCACCCGCGACCCACCCGCGACCCCCTCCGCGACCCACCCGCGACCCACCCCGCGACCCACCCGCGACCCACCCGCGACCCACCCGCGACCCACCCCGCGACCCTCCCGCGACCCACCCCGCGATCCACCCGGCGACCCACCCGCGACCCACCGGCGACCCACCCGCAACCCATCCGCGACCCACCCCGCCATCCACCGCGACCCACCCACGGCCCACCCGCGACCCACCCCGCGACCCACCCAAAATTTTCGGCGCCTGCGGCGGGTTTCTTTTGCATTCGTTCCAGGTGGAGAACTGGCCACCCACCCGCGACCCAAACCGCGCCCGCGACCCACCCGCGACGCACCGCGACCCACCCGCGAACCCACCCACCCCGCGACCCACCCAAAGTTTTCGGCGCCAGCGGCGGTGCCTGCGGCGGGCTTTTTCTAAATTCCTTCCAGGTGGAGGTAGAGAGCCCGCGACCCACCCGCGACCCAAACTACGTTTACTGAACAAGCCAAAACTTCGGCGATTGCGGCGGGGTTCTTTTGCAGTCGTTCCAGGTGGAGAACCTGCGACCCAAACCGCGTTCAGTGTACAAATCAAAATTTTCGGCGCCTGCGGCTGGCTGTTTTTTAATTCCTTCCAGGTGGAGGTGAAGAGCCCGCGACCCACCCGCGACCCAAGCTACGTTCATTGAACAAGCCAAAGCGGACGAGGAAGAGGAGGAGGAGGAGGAGGAGGAGGAGGAGGAGGAGGAGGAGGAGCAGGAGGATGAGGTGGAGGAGGAGGAGGAGGAGGGCGCCATCGACAGGGAAGGTGAGGGCCACGAGGTCCGCCGGCTCGACGCCCGCGTCGCCAGCGCCCGTCCCCTCGCTCTTATCCGCAATTGCGGGGCGCTACGTTAATATTTTTGGATTCCTAGTTCCCAATCTACTTTAGCCGCCTTTCTACTTCAAGAGTCGAGTGGTGTTCCCTCTTTCCTCTTCCCTCCTCTTCAGGAGGCGGGCAGGAACTCAATCTACGTCAACGCCTTCCTACTTCATGGTTCTACCTACTTTTTCGACCGATGGCAAACGTAAACTTCTGGAGATCCTCGCCGATTTCTCCGATCGGCGCTGGACCCCCCCACACCTGGTGCGCAGAGCGCGCCAGGTGTGGCGCGGGAGGCCCCGCCAGGGGGGCCTATAGCGCAGAAGCAAGACATCGGCGCGGACCTCCGAACATTTATATTCAATTCTGCTGTTGTTGGTTCCTCCATTCTGAAGGGAGCCGTGGGGTACTCGATTATGTTGTTGATTTTTTTGGAGGCCGTTTCCCTGGGCCTCCGTGGAGGCCTCCGAAGAGTGACCATGTGCCCTCCCAAGATTCCCAGAGGCTTCCAGCTGGGGGTGACCCCCCTTCCTCAGGCAACACCGGGGGGGTGTCGCCACTTTTTGTGTCGCCACCGCCTCCCAGAGGTCGAGGATCGAGGAGGAAAAGGGTGCATTGAGCATCGGGCTCGCTTAGCTACTCTACGCCGTCTAGGGCCGCATTCTTGTTCCGCTTCTTTTTGCACTTCCTCATCCGCACTGGCGGCTGCCTTAATTTGTTTGCCCTGGCCTAAGTCGGCGTTATTTATTCCTTGAAGCCTCGCACCGTGTTTTCTTTCGCGCCGCAGCAAGCACCGTTCATCCTGTCTGGCCAACGTCAAACATTGAGGACCGAGGGGTGTTCGGACGTTTCCATGGTCCAGTGGGTGCTCTTGGGGGTCCAGGGGGTCTTCTGCCTGGGGGAGGTGGCCGCCACCTGGTAACGCCCTTTGGCATTGCCTGGCTCCCCTCCTCTCAGCGCCACCCAGATGGGTGCCTAGCCACGTGTAATCTGGCAGCCCGCGGCGAGGACACGAAAGGACAGGACACCACGCCGAGCCAGTTGTTCGGCCCTGGCAGCGGCCGTCTCGGCAGCAGAGCGGACTGCAGGCTCGACCGCGTCGACACCACGTCGAACCGGGACTGGACAGCGCGGGGAAGCGTCGACACCACGTCGACACCACGTCTACACCACGTCGACACCACGTCGACACCACGTCGACACCACGTCGACACCACGTCGAACCGTCGACCGCGTCGACACCACGTCGACACCACGTCGAACCGGGACTGGACACCACCATTGAACGGGGGCTCGGGCAGCGCGCAGGAAGGGGGGCAGGGAGGTGGCGGGAGCGGGGCCCCTGCGCGCGGGAGAATGGCAGGCAAGCGGCTGGAGGGCGCCAGCCTCCTGCGTCGAGCAGGGTCCCTGTCTGCGGAGTGCCCCGCAAGTCGGCCGAGTGCCCGTCGGGGATGGCGCTGGCCCTCCACCCCGTCCCTCCGTTGCCCGGGCCTCCGGCGTCGTAAGCTTTCTCACGATCTGGGCCTCGTTAGCCCTCGCCGAAGAGAGGTCGTCGTGTGGCTGTTGTTGTAGATGTTTGGTGCGGAGACTGTTTGCTTGAAGGCTGGCTTGACGACAGTGAAGAATCACTCAGACATGCAATCTGCCCTATCCCTAAGACCAGCCTGTCGCCTCGGGTCTTTTATGACGGCCCTGGGGCCCTAACAGCGGGCCTTGGATTACCGAAATCGGCGAGCAATCAAAGGCACTCCTGGTCCACAATGAGTGCGATTTGAAAGAGTAGGCGAGGTATATCTACTCCGCGTGAGATTGCATCCCGTTCGATGAACTATGCGTTCTGGTGCGGAGTAGCTTCTGGCCCCTCTTTGAGTTCAAGAGTATGAGAATCCCTATGAGAACCGAAGACCACTCCGCCAAACGCAGCGTGGCGTTTGCATCACGGAATAAGTAGTGGGGTGGAAGGTTGCCCGATCATAGAGAGACGTGCAGTTTTTGCCGCGGCGGCGTAGCGTCTTCTTTACAACGCCCAGGGGTCTGGGTCGGCCCTTGCGCTTGGGCTCAGCATCGGCCCCTGGGCTTTCTCGCGAGTGCCACCCGATTGGATATTCATCGGTCATAGAACGATGTTGAGGTTACTGCCGCGACGGTATCGTGTTTTTTTTGGCGACGCCCAGGGGGCTGGGTCAGCCCTTTCGCTTGGGCTCTGCATGGGCCCCTGGGCTCCCTTTCGAGCACCACCCCGATCGGGTTTAGTTGCGTTTTTTTTCGCGTTGCCCAGGGGTCTGGGTCGGCCCTTGCGCTTGGGCTCGGACTCTGCCCCTCGGCCCACTCGCGAGCACCACACCGATCAGGTTCAGTTGTGTTTTTTTCGCGGCGCCCAGAAGTCTGGGTCGGCCTTTGCCCTCGGGCTCGGAGTCTGCCCCTGGGCCCCCCTCGCGAGCACACCACCCCGACCAGTTTGTGGCTTCAGTCTGCCAGGCCGCGGCGACGAGGTCCCCTCGGGAAGCCCTACAGTCAACCCGCATAGTAAGGACGGGCAACCTTCCCAAGGGTACCCTTGCATCCTTGCCTCATCGGTGCATCCTTGGCCACTTTCTTCGGCCACGCCCCGCTCGAAAACTTCGAAATGGGCTTCCAAGGGCCTTGCATCCTTATCGTGCATCCTTCCTATACTGGTTGGCTGTCGAGAGTGACGGAATGCGTCAACATCCCCGCGGCTGCCCCCCCCGCGAGCGTTGCCATCGATCCATTGGGGGTGGACCCAGCTGCTCCTCGCCGCGTGAGCTGGGCCAGTGCGCGCTCTCGCTTGACCTGTTCGGCGCCGCGCCGCCGCGCGCGCGTGGCGGCGGCGCCAAATGTGCGCGTGTGTGTTATTGCAACGTGGGTCTTAAACGGATCATTGGGCGGTGATAACAGGGGTGTTCGCAAGGGTGTTTTCAAGGGTGCTGTGTTCGGCGGCCAGGAGTAACTCCCAGCCAGAACGATTGCGCGTGCGATGCGCGCACTGCCGGGGAAATGGCACACACACACACACAGGTCA